TGAAAGCGTTTCGCGCAGCGAAGTATAGTTAGCTAGGCATCTGTGCATGAGGCAAGGGGAGTTCGAAATGTCACATACACCTGTAGCACACAGCAGTACGTGTATGTTTATGCATAATTGGGCGCTATCAAAATTACGTAATAAGGCTTGATCTTTTGACCCTTTCTGGACTAGAATCCCACGTGTAAAACGTAAAACATCGCGAGCGAAGTTTGATTGACAGTAACTTCATGAATATTTATGAATCACTTGTTTGTGAACTTTTGACCCTTGACGTCACATTAAGCAATTGGTCTAGCGCAGTTAGTTGGGGACTCGCGATCACTAAGGATCGCATCACTCGGCTTAACGCTTATAGTCGGCGAATAACAAAAATCAATATAGGGTCCAGAACTAGACTACCCAATCGTCTGCTTTTTCTCATAATTTAATGAAACGTCAAAGCTTCCTCGCTTTGCGCGGGAGGGGGAGAAAATGAATTCAGATAAGGATTAACAGTCGAGAACGGTACAGCAAATCGTCTACTTTCTCTAATAATTTAATGACACGCCAAAACTTCGCGGGAGGGGGGAACTGAATTCAGATAAGGATTAAGAGTCGAGAACAGTACACCCAATCGTCTGCTTTTTCTCATAATTTAATGAAATGTCAAAGCTTTACCGCGCTTTGCGCGGGAGGGGGAGAAAATGAATTCAGATAAGGATTAACAGTCGAGAACAGTACAGCAAATCGTCTTCTTTTTATAATTTAATGAAACGCCAAAGCTTTCGTGCTTCGCGCGAGAGGGGGGAAGTTCATTCAGACAAGGACTAACAGTCGAGAACGGTACAATAAATTGTCTCCTTTTCCTAATAATTTAAGGAAACGTCTAAGCTTCTGCCCTTCGCGCGGGAGGCCTATCACCCACACCCTCTAATGAGCGCGCTTTGAGTGAATCGCTTGCTCACTACCGCCCCTCCCTAAAATAAGATCCTAGCTACGCGCCTGCATTAAAATATATAGCTATGATGCTGACTAAGTTGACGAAATAATTTGTATATTTATGTCGTAGAGGAAAATGACCATTTGCGCATACGCAAGTACTATAGATAGTCCTTAGGAAATACAATTTAGCCTTCGGCCCGGGTATATAGGTTTAAATTTGTAAATATTGGGACATTTAATTTTGTCGGTAATTGGGGGCTAGTTTTGTCGGTAATCGTTGGCCTCTACACCCCGACACTGAAAAAGGTCTAGAGACGCCCCTGAATATAACACCATGTCACAGACACTGATAACACGTAGGGCCATGCATCTCAGATTTAACATTGTTAAACGATCCCTTTAATCAACGATACACAACGTGGGATAAATTGGGTAAGGACGAGGAATCGTCTTTTTTCCTTTCAAAGACGTCTTTAAATTATAATTACAGTGTGTAAGTGGTTGTCCTGATGCCCAGAGGAGTCGAAAAACGTTGTAAGTCAAAATGTAATTACTACTTCTTTACATTTCGAAAAAAATGTGCCCCTCCCCACTGTTTGAATCGATTTCCGATGCAGGCTCTGGTGCTCCCTGGAGTTAGGGAAGAAGTAGACTGAATAAATGGTCTAAATAACACAATTTTAAAGGGAGTTGGTCAACATTTTTTTTTAATGGGATTGCATTGTCCATGATAACAATTAAATTTGGGACAAAAAAAAAGACTAAATAACATATTACCTACCAATTTGGTTGCTAGTAGTATGATGGCTAAGGAAAAACACAACTTATTGTTACAGCTTACAATACGGCTTTAAAGGGATCGTTTAACATTGTTAAATCTGAGATACACGGCCCTACATGTTATTAGTGTCTGTGATATGATATTGAAGCCCTACAAAAATCGCGCTTCAAAATGATCAAGAAGTGCCTCCAAAAAGTAAAAATCCTTGAGTGACCGGTTTTACCATACTCGTTTTCCCCAATAGACTGTAGTGTTATGAAAACCGTCAGGCGAACGGTTTTCAAAATTTTTAATTCCAATCATAAATATCTTGATAATTAGACAGGCGATCGGCTGGTAAAAGTCATGGGGTTCCTGACTGACCTACAGGTTTATAAATATCATTGCATCATGAGCTAAATCCAGAATTTTGTTTCAGAATCTGAGACAAAGTTACCGGATCCCTTTAAGGAAGTAGCCCCTTGGTTTTTTTTTAGGCAATGGGGAAAAGTAGCCCCCATAAAAAAATTAATTCCTAGCCCGCGTCAGTGATAATATTTTCTTAGGATATGAAAAACGAACAGTTAAACAAAACACTCCTTTTGACAAGTTTTAGTTACATGTATATGTAAATCATAAAGCCACACGTTTAACACAAAGTGAATAAATCATGGGTATCTGAATGTCTGCAATACTCTACATGACATATGTACGCTACAATTGTATCTATATTTGCCTTTGCTTGGAATTTAATTAGGTAAAACCGCGTTTAAAAAAAATACAACCTTTAAAAAAAAAAAGCCCCCCTGAGCTCCAAAATAGCCACCGCAAAATAATTAAGGGGGGCTATTTTTTTAAGGGAAAATCTGAAAAGAGCCCTCGTAAAAAAAAAAGTAATTTTTTGGTTGGACAGCACACGTAGTTGTTTCGCAATAGACTTCTACATATGGCTATGCATGTTAGCGCATGTGCTAAGAGAACGTGAAAGTGCGGAAAGTTGTGCGACACTGACCAATTTCGAGCTAAGTTGGAGATCTTTCCGGGGCCCTAAATCTGATTTAATTTTGAGAGTTAAGAAAAGTTGTTTAACTGCCTGATTTGTGCAAGTTTCGTGGCTCATAAATTATTTTTTAAATTGTTACAGCTGTTGAAACGGCTGTCTGACCGAATACTGGGAATAGACCGAATACTGGGCGCGCTACCATACTCCCTTTGCAGATTTAATGATAATATCACCCAATCGGCTGTTTTAGTAAATACTAGCCCACACGAGAAACCAACAAAACCAACCGAAGCTCCGACGCCTGCAGCGCCGGTGTTGGAGCTTCCCGGAGTTAAAGTAGACTCTAGGCCTGTATTATTGTATCTGTGTATAGGGCCTAGAGTAAAGGAGCCGGTAATCGGCCAGCTCCCGTTTTCGGCCGATTGGTTGGATACAAGGTAAAATCACTCTAAAATACATCGCATAATAGCATAACACATATCCCACACATACCATACCATGCCAGTGTCACTGAAGAACCACATTTGCAATGAAAAATATATCCTAAAATATCACATTTTAGCGATGTAATCGGCGGTCTCGCTACCCGAATCTGAAAAATCGAGTATTTTACGCGTGTCTGTAAGAAATATGGGTACCATAAAATGAGCTTTATTTCAAGTATTTTTCAGATTTAGAGCCCGATTTTGTGCTAGTCGCAAGCTCAAAAGTATCTCATCGCATGTATTAAATCAATGCAGCCGCACACCGCAACGCACACACGATATCTCTATCTAATTCAGATTCCAACTTCCGATCACCGCTGTGCCTGTCTTCGGCCAGGCGAGCACTCGGGAGCTCCGGCATGGGATACCTGCTCCGCCCGCTTGTGCTGTACATCAGCGCGGAAACGCACGGTGCGCGCGAGCGCTTTGTATTGACTTTGTACATGCGGCCGTAAACTGAAACGCTCGGCCGATAACTGGCTCCAAAACAGTGAAAATTGAAATGAATATTGTCATGGCAATTCGTGATTTTTTTCTGGGATTCTTTTTTTGTTTAAATAATAATAATATTTGCTTCATGATTTGAACAAAAAATGATAATAAATAGGAAGTAAAGGGTCCTAAAAAAAGGATTTTGTCTTAAGTGGCCGAAAACGGGCTCCTTTACTCTAGGCCTAACCTAGAATCTAGAACTTAGAAGTAGGTCTAGACCTAGACCGAAAGCTTCAGTCTCTATAATCGTCGGTTGTTCCACTGAGACTACGTCTGGCTCCACTAGACCTCCGGTTATAGAGACTGAACGACTGCCTATGCCAGCCTGTGTTGAACTTATTCCGCTAGATTTTAGCCGCTAGGCCCCTCCCACAAACTTGCCACGGCCTAAGCGGAATAAGTTCAACACAGGCTGGCATAGGCAGTCGTTCAGTCTCTATAACCGGAGGTCTAGTGGAGCCAGACGTAGTCTCAGTGGAACAACCGACGATTATAGAGACTGAAGCTTTCGGTCTAGTCTAGACCGAATTTTCCGTCTCTTTCGTTCGTTAGCCTCTTATTGGGGTAGGGTCGGCCGGCTCTCTCTTTAGAGACGGAAACCGTTTAATCACATGTCCTTGCTAACGCCACGGCCAACTCTGGTCGTAGCGTTTTGCCCCCAAAATCCCCCAAAATGTAATTTTACCTCATTCATTGATTATTTAAACTTAGGAGAAGGTTTTACTAGGCTACCTCGGTTCCACTTACCAAATTTGACTGTATAATGCGTTTAATGGTCCCTTTTCAGGAAATTACGGGTCTAAATTGACAGCCGTGTTGAAAGTCATGCAGTGGTGTTCCGTAGTCTTCCTGCGTATGTTGTTATCTTTTATTTATCTAAATCTCATCCCTTCTAGTCTGTGCGCAAGGCAAAAATGATTATTGAAGGAGATGCTGTGATAACGTCATTACGAACTCGTAGCTCGTGCACATTGATTTCCATGCAGGCGCGTACACAGGGGGGGGGGGGGGGTGTTTGGGGGGTTAAACCCCCCCCCCCCCCCGCCCTTTGGTATTTTTAAATGTGTAAACCCCCCTAAAAAATTCCTAACCCCCCCCCCCCCCCCCTTTGGATTTTTTTTTTTTTTTTTTTAATTAATTAGGGGGGTTTACACACATAAAAATACCAAAGGGGGGGGGGGGTTTAACCCCCCAAACACCCCCCCCCCCCCCTGTGTACGCGCCTGCATCTAGACCTAGAAATGTGTGGTCTAGATCTAGAGTAGCGCGCTAGCGCCCATTTATCTGTAAGATTTACTAGATCTATAAAAATTTAGTATAGAAATTTATTACTCACTTCCTTGACAAAATGATGATCTTTAAAGTAGTTCCAGCCGGCAGCCTCCAGCATGCAGCTAGCGATCCAGATCCAGTGCAGCATTGTCTTCAGACCGACTAGATCTATTTTTTCCCACACATAAGTTAATGTGTGGGACTCGTAGTCGTACTCATACTTGTACTAGTCTGAGCTATGCTTGGTTGGTAAATACTGCATCGATCCTTTCTCGCTTTGTTAAATTATTGCCCTCGAATACCCTTACAATTCTTCTTTCCTGGTGTTAATCTAACCTTTCCCCATACTGTGGGTTTTAAAGGAAGATATATGATATCTGGCGAAATGGCAGAGTTGACAGTTGACATCAATGGCAGGGATATTTGAAATTGAAATCAAACATTTCGTTCTCTACCACCAGATGGCAGCAAACCTAACTTGAGTTCCAGTCTTCTTTTCTTCAGTTTGTGACCCTCCGACAGGCCATTTTATTGAAAATCAATCTCTGAGTAACATATTCGAATACATGAATACACAAATGAATAACATATAATAGTTCAGAATAACATAAAGACAACTAATATCAACCATAAAAAGCGAATACTGAAACCATAGCATATTGATAATAATAATATGATAATAATCTGTATAATTTATATTCATGCAAGAAATAGATTTTTTTTTAAACATTGCAACATCATGACTGAAAATAATGTGGGAAATTCAATATAATACTACTAAACGATCAAAATCCTTTTAAAAATTATAAATTTTGTAATCGAATTTGTCAGTTTTGTAAGAAAGTATACTAACTTGCCTGGTATATTGCTTTGTTGTCATGGTCTTGAAGGGTGGTATAGACTTTTGTATTTCAGTATACAGCTTCGTTTCTTTAGATGTCATTCAATTATGATTTAAAACTCTTGGAGAATTAGAGTTCAGTTCAAGGTTATTAAAACAATAGAGGATTTAGCTAATTCTTCTGATAATTCAAATTAAGACAGACAGATTTTATAAACATCTTAATTCTACAACATAAGTATACTTATAGGGAAAGTTGAGTTTGGAGGGCCAGTAAATTGTCCGAATCCGATTTTTGAACCTATTTGTATTTACACAAAAACATTAATCTATATTAATCTTTGGAAATTCTTTTAATTACTACTCAATGTTCCCAAAACAAACAACATGTTACGTCGGATGATTGAGCAACCATCGCCAACATTATTTCCTGGCTAAAAAATTGGGTTTTGAACAGTTTAAGGTCGAATTGTTTTGAAGGGGTCCCTAAAAGAGTGTAACTTATTACGTTTCTTTATCGTCACATTTTGCAAACTTTCTGACCCCTCCATGCAAGAACTCAGCCCTTTATTTAATGTTGTCAAGAAGTCAAAGACGTGGCAATGCACACGATCGTTTTTTTAATATCGTCCCTATTTATGCCTTCTCATATAAAAAAAAAACATGCAGTAAGTGACTGACCATCCCCTCCCCCGCAAAAACCCATCAATATTATGAAGAAGTATTAAAGAAACTGAAATAAATTACACAATATGAAAATGGTTAAAGAAAGAACAAAGATAGGAATATTAAAGATGCCAGAAATATAGCCATGAAAAGAATATCTCAAAAACCACAATTGTTTTGCGGAACAGAGGTTGCATTGGAGACCAGGCGCGGATCCACGGGGGAGGGGGGGGGGGGGGGGGGGTTAAACAGGCCCGGTTAAAAAAAATGGTTTTAAACAAAAAATGAAAATGGGGTCCCCTCCAGGCATTCTTCTGACATTCTTTATTTACTTTAACACATGAAACAATTAAAACGCGCAACATTTCACAGTGAAATAAACAATTTTTCGTAAAAACCTGGATATATATCGATCCTCCTACTAGGGGCGGATCCAGCCGGCGGAAAAAGGGTGGGGCGCAAATCTTGAGAAAATATTTAGCGGCGAATTAGCCAGCCAGCGAATAAGCGGGGGGGGGGGGGGGGGTGGGGGGTGTATCCGCCCCTGTAGGAGGCTATATATCCAGGTTACGAAAAATTGTTCATTTCACTGAGAAATGTGTGTGTTTTAGTCGATTTACACGTAAAAGTCAATGAAACAAAGCTGGGGGTGGGGGAGGGGCGGCTGGGAAAAATACTGCGGATTCGGGGGGGGGGAGCTAGGGAACGAAAAATGTCAATACGGACACTATGTCAACAGTCAACAACAAACAAAATGTTTATTTGTTTTCACTTTCGTTATGTTTGGTGTGAACGTTTTGATTCTCGAACGCCCATGATGTTTTTATTATTGATTGTTTTACTTTAATTATCATTGTTACATTGGTTCAAAAATAGTAGGCCTATGTTTAGAACAAATTTGAAACTAAATTTCATAGCTTCTGTACATTGTTTAAGTTTAAGTATTACGATGTTTTAAAAATATCGTATTATTTATTATATTGTATGTATATAACATTAAAAAGATGTGGCGAAAATGTTTCTTTTCTTCCTTGAAACATTCTTATGATATCACGAAAACATTACATGTAGACTGTATGAATTTAAAAAAAAAAATTGAAAAACATTAAAAAAATGTCATTTTATTTGTTTTGTTAAAAACGTTTTTGAATTGTTTTTTTGTGACATTTGTACAACGTCTTAATCTAAGGATAACAACATTTTAACAACATTCTTAAAATGTTCTGCTTATATCATATTAATTGCATTTAAAAGATGTTGTAAAAACGTTTCTCTTCTTTTTTGAACACATTATTATGATATCACGAAAACATTACATGTGGACTGTTTGTAAGATCTTTTTTAAACCTTTTGAAAAACATTCAAAAAATGTTATTTTACTTGTTTTGTTAAAAACGTTTTTGAATTGTTTTTTGTGACATTTGTACAACGTCTTAATCTAAGGATAACAACATTTTAACAACATTCTTAAAATGTTCTGCTCATATCTTATCAATGACATTTTAAAGATGTTAGAAAAACGTTTCTTTTCTTCTTTGAAAACATTTGTATGATATAAAGAAAACATTTCATGTGGACCGTTTGTAAGATGTTTTTTAAACATTTTGAAAAACATTCAAAAATGTTATTTTAATTGTTTTGTTTATAACATTTTTTAAATGTTTTTTGTGACATTTGTACAACGTCTTAATGTGAGGATTACAAAATTTTAACAACGTTCTTAAAATGTTCTGGTTATATCATATCAATGACATTCTAAGGATGTTAGAAAAACGTTTCTTTTCTTCTTTGAAAACATTTGAATGATATAAAGAAAACATTTCATTTGGACCGTTTGTAAGATCTTTTTTAAACATTTTGAAAAACGTTAAAAAATGTTATTTTAATTGTTTTGTTTATAACGTTTTTGAAATGTTTTTTTTTTATATTTGTACAACGTCTTAATGTAAGGATTACAATATTTTAACAACATTCTTAAAATGTTCTTTTTATATCATATCAATTACATTAAAAGATGTTCTAAAAACGTTTCTCTTCTTTTTTGAAAACATTATTATGATATCAGGAAAACATTACATGTGGACTGTTTGTAAGATGTTTTTTAAACATTTTGAAAAACATTCAAAAAAATGTTATTTTAATAGTTTTGTTAAAAACATTTTTTAAATGTTTTTTGTGACATTTGTACAACGTCTTAATGTAAAGATTACAATATTTTAACAACATTCTTAAAATGTTCTGCTTATATCATATCAATGACATTTTAAAGATGTTAGAAAAACGTTTCTTTTCTAGCTTTGAAAACATTATTATGATATCACGAAAACACTACATGTGGACTGTTTGTAAGATGTTTTTTAAACATTTTGAAAAACATTCAAAAATGTTATTTTAATGGTTTTGTTTATAACGTTTTTGAAATGTTTTTTTGTGACATTTGTACAAAGTCTTAATGTGAGGATTACAAAATTTTAACAACATTCTTAAGATGTTCTGCTTATATCATATCAATGACATTCTAATGATGTTAGAAAAACGTTTCTTTTCTTCTTTGAAAACATTTGTATGATATAAAGAAAACATTTCATTTGGACTGTTTGTAAGATCTTTTTTAAACATTTTGAAAAACGTTCAAAAATGTTATTTTAATTGTTTTGTTTGTAACGTTTTTGAAATGTTTTTTGTGACATTTGTAAGACGTCTTTATGTAAGGATTACAATATTTTAACAACATTCTTAAAATGTTCTGTTTATATCATATCAATTACATTTAAAAGATGTTGTAAAAACGTTTCTCTTTTTTTTGAAAACATTCTTATGATATCACGAAAACATTACATGTCGACTGTTTGTAAGATATTTTTTAAACATTTTGAAAAACATTCAAAAAATGTTATTTTAATAGTTTTGTTTAAAACATTTTTGAAATGTTTTTTTGTGACATTTGTACAATGTCTTAATGTAAGGATTACAATATTTTAACAACATTCTTAAAATGTTCTGCTTATGTCATATCAATGACATTTTAAAGATGCTAGAAAAACGTTTCTCTTCTTTTTTGAAAACATTATTATGATATCACGAAAACATTACATGTGGACTGTATGTAAGATGTTTTTTAAACATTTTGAAAAACATTCAAAACATGTTATTTTAATTGTTTTGTTAAAAACATTTTTGAAATGTTTTTTGTGACATTTGTAAGACGTCTAAATGTAAGAATCACAATATTTTAACAACATTCTTAAAATGTTCTTTTTATATCATATCAATTACATTTAAAAGATGTTGTAAAAATGTTTCTCTTCTTTTTTGAAAACATTATTATGATATCACGAAAACATTACATGTGGACTGTTTGTAAGATGTTTTTTAAACATTTTGAAAAAACATTCAAAAAATGTTATTTTAATAGTTTTGTTAAAAACATTTTTGAAATGTTTTTTGTGACATTTTTACAACGTCTTAATGTAAGGATTACAATATTTTTACAACATTTTTAAAATGTTTTTGTTATATCATATTTATAACATTTAAAAGATGTTGTGAAAACGTTTCTCTTCTTTTTTGAAAACATTATTATGATATCACGAAAACATTACATGTGGACTGTTTGTAAGATGTTTTTTAAACATTTTGAAAAACATTCAAAAAATGTTATTTTAATAGTTTTGTTAAAAATATTTTTGAAATGTTTTTTGTGACATTTTTACAACGTCTTAATGTAAGGATTACAATATTTTTACAACATTTTTAAAATGTTTTTGTTATATCATATTTATAACATTTAAGAGATGTTGTGAAAACGTTTCTCTTCTTTTTTGAAAACATTATTATGATATCACGAAAACATTACATGTGGACTGTTTGTAAGATGTTTTTTAAACATTTTGTAAAAACATTCAAAAAATATTATTTTAAATTTGTTGTTAAAAACATTTTTTAAATGTTTTTTGTGACATTTGTACAACGTCTAAATGTAAGGATAACAATATTTTTACAACATTTTAAAAATGTTTTTGTTATATCATATTTATAACATTTAAAAGATGTTGTGAAAACGTTTCTCTTCTTTTCTGAAAACATTATTATGATATCACGAAAACATTTTACAACGTCTAAATGTAAGGATTACAATATTTTTAC